TACTGCCTTCGTTTCGACCCATTGAGTCAGGTAGTCGATTGCTAATATTACGTATTTATTACCCCTATCGCTTTGTGGGAATGGTCCCAGGAAATGCATTCCTACTAAGCCAAATACATGGGTGACCGGGATTGGTTGCATGAGGCCTTGTTGTAGTGTTTTAGGTGATTTTCGCGATTGGCAGTGCGCGCACGACCGTACGTACTCTCGTATTTCTTTAATCATGTTGTACTAAAAATAACGTTATTTGACTTTGTAAATTGTTTTTGTTAGCCCGTAGTGGGCTCGAGTCGCGGGGTCGTCGTGGCATGCTTGAAGGATCTCATTCCTTAATGTTTTAGGCATTACGAGCAATTTGTCTGTGCTGTTTTATCCAAACGTCTTTTTTAAATAGTATGTCGTTGTGTAGCAGGTAGCTACGCAATTTACGAGCCGTTTTATTTGTGACGTGTTCCGGGTTGTGTAGAGCTAGAATTAAGTCGCATTTGTGCTATGTCCCTAGAGTTTGTATTAGTTTCGGTTAACATACAGATTTTCAAATCGTCGTTTATGGGGTAGCGTGATAATGCGTCTGCGTCTGTATGTAAGTTACCATTTTTATGTCATTCGTATTCCTGTATGTAGTTTAATTACCCAACGGGTCAGTCTCGTAGATAAGTCTTATGATTTCTGTAGCCAGCATAGAGCATGGTGGTCTGTTATTATAGTAAATTTTTTCCTCCATAGGAACTGTCTAAAATGTCTGATTGCCCATATAATGGCTAGGCACTCTTTTTCAGTCGTGCTGTACTTAATTTTTCGTCGTTGGAGTTTACGCGATGCGTAGGCTTCCTGGTGTTTACTGTTGTTATGTTCTTGTACGAGTACTGCTCCTAGGCCAATATCGCATAAGTCCACGTGTATTTCTGTCGGTGAGGTTGCGTCGAATTGTGCGAGAACGGTTTGTGATATTAGTTTTTCTTTTAAAGATTGAAACGCGCTTTCTTGTTCCGACTCCCAGTGAAACTTTATGTTTCTACTAGTCAGTACTGTCAGTGGGTGTGCGATTTTCGCAAAGTTCTCTATGAATTTTCTGTATAAGTTTGCGAGTCCTATGAATGAACGAATGTCTTTAATCTTTTTAGGTCTTGGAAAATTTTGTACCGCTGTAATTTTTTTCCGGGTCTGGGGAGATCTCTTTGTCGGAATCTATATGACCCAAAATCGCGTTAAGCTGGTAAAACCCAAGAAACATTTACTTGGCTTAAGTTTCAGGCCCGCAAGTCTCAGTCTGTCTAGTACTGTCGATAGTCTGGTTAAGTGTGTTTCAAAGTCGTTGGATTTTATAATTATATCGCCTAAGTAAACAAAGACAGGTACTCCATTTAAGGCCCCCTAGAACGTTATCCATACATCTCTGAAAAGTCGCGGGGCTAGAGCAGAGTCCGAAGGGTAAAACGTTGAATTCGTATAGTCCGTCCGTGCTGTAATGAATGCTGTTTTTTGTTTGTTTTTCGTCTTTCTCTTGCACTGGGATTTGCCAATAACCGCTTTTCAGGTCGGGTGTCGAAAAAAAATAGGAACCGTTCAAATTTGTTAATATGTCGTCCATTAATGGTAAGGGGTATTTGTCAGCGATAGTTACTTTGTTTAATTTCCTATAGTCCACGCAAAATCGCCATTCACCGGATTTTTTCTTAACTAAAACTACGGGGCTGGCCCACGGACTTATTTAGTTTTTTATAACTCCTTGTAACATTTCGTTTACTTGGTTTTGAATATCCTGTCTCTCTTTTAGGCTGTTTCTATATGGCGCGGAGTTGATTGGTTTTGCGTTGTTTGTGTCTGTCGTATGTTCAACTAGGTCCGTCGGTTTGAGTGTCCGGTTTTTCCAGCAAAATACGTCGGCGAACGTTTCGATTAGGTCGAGTAAGCGATTATATTGGTCGGCCTGTAAGTCGTTGTTCACAGTTACTTCGCTTATGTCAATGATGTTGGGCGTCGTCGTGTTGTTTTGGTTGCTTTCGAGCTATAAATCGCGTGCCTATCTGCTTATTTTTACCGAGTGCTACGGCTCCGGTGTTTGCGTTCAATAAAGATAAGTATTGTATGTCATTGTCATTCCTTAGTAAAGAGCAGTCAATTATTAATCCTCGTCGAGTGAGTTGTATGTCGGGTTCAAAAATGTATTCTCCGTTACCGTCGTACTTTGAGTCCGGACTACCAATCGGTACTTAAACTTGTTTGAGATTTAATATTTTTTAAACTGTATAAGAAATTGTATATAAAGTTTGAATTGTTGTATGCAAACGTGACTGTCTCTAAATTAAAATCTATGATGATGTTAGCTTGAATATTAAAATCATTACTTAAAATGTCGTAGTCGCTTTCGATATCGAGAACGTAAACTTCGAGTTTCATTTTACACTCACTATCGAGCTCAATTTCTAATTGTGAGACTCCTAAAATATTCGTACTTTTGCCAAAGCCAAACGTAATAGTTGTTTTACCTGTGAAGGGCAAAATGTTATGATAAAATTGACATTGTTTACCTATGACTGAGGTCCTGAATCTATTAAAACTATTGTAGGCGTTTGATTAACAGTTAATTCTATGTAAGTTGCCGGAGTAATGTTTGCCCCTGTACGTGATTGCCCTGATTTTAAATGATGGACTACCTTCTGCGATTGCCCACGAATCGCGTTTGAAAATTTTGACTTGGTTGCGCAGGCCCGGATGAGTTTACTCTGTTATTTGTGTTACATAATATCGCATAATGGCCTGATCGCCCGCAAATATAGCACGTTGGTCTACCTGTAGTGGTTCGACCGCCTCTGTTATGAAAGTCTTGTCCACCTCTGTTGTCAAAGTGCCGTTGTCTAATTGGCGTAACGTCCCGTCTGTGTGTTGTCTGCGAGTTGTCGTACGTGATTTGTGTAAAATGATTTGTTAACTCTTTGATATCGTCTCGCAATTTAGTTACTTTATCGTCTCCTGTGTCAACTCCGTAAATTTGTCTGTATGAGTCCGCTTTAAGTAATTGTGTAATGAATTGTGTTACGTCGTTTAGTGAGAACTGAGAAGCCTGGGCAACCAAAGATTTTGGTCGAAGGCCTTTTAATATGTATCTTATGACGGTCCCGACGTTCATGTTCAGATCGATTTTGTCGCAGAGTTCTGTCACCGCTTGTATGTAATGTTTTAATTCTGCATTTGAACTTCTAATTCTGTTGTCTAAGATCGCTTGAGCCCTATCTTGACTACCGTGTTCCAGAAATGCGACGGCATTTTTCCCACGAGTCTAGAGTATCGCGCCGTAATTGTTTTAGATACCACATGCGAGCTGGTCCTTGTAAGTATTGGAGTAAGAAGTCTAGTTTGTCGTTGTTGGACCATCCGTTTATGCGTGCGGCGTGCTCGTATTCTAATAGAATACTAAGGAATAGAATACTTAGGAATATTGGAAGGAAGGGCAGAAGTGTGACTTGGCGGGGGTGTTTCATCGCCTATGCACTATCCTTGTTTTTAAGACTAGCATCGGTTGCTCCGCCCATGCGTAGTTCCCACTCCCTCAATTTGGTGATTACTTTTTACAACACGATCCTTTAATTTATATATCTATTTATACAAGTATATTTAACCTTGATTCCAAATATCAACTTCACCTTATCAAAAATTACTCATTCATGTTTCTTTCGATTAATACTTTCTTTCTTCATTATTTTCATTTGCCATATCGGATCCCTTAATCTGGATTTGGCAGTCAAAAACACGAGCCAATGACTATTGACGAAACAAAATTAAAGTATTTTCAATAGAAACAAAATCGTAATTTATATAAAAGGGCGTCACGCAAATTAAACAAAATCCCGACGGTATAAACGCGGTAATACACTACAAACGTTCGTTTGGTTTGTTTTACGGTAACATTATCAGTGAACAAAAAAAAACATACAACGAAAATAATAGTTTATATCCAATCTTAATCATTATCTTACTTAACAAATATAAAACTATTATCTCATAACACATAAACAATAGGGCCACCATAACACATTTAACTTTTTGACTAAAAACTTGCCCTCTATACTTTCATTACCTTGTAACAAAGGCTATAAACTCTATCCGTTAACCAAACCAAACCTTTTGCGACGCGCGGTAAAAAAACGACACAACGATAAATATATATATATACTAGCTGACCCGACAGACGTTGTCCTGTACACATATGTCTATATTAAAAAAGTATTTAACTTTTCAATATCATTCAACTTTTTTTTTAAATTATCCATAAATAAATTAAATTAATACAATAGTTATATTTATTTTCAAATGTACAATTTAACAATATTATATTCAGGAATGCAATTCCAATAATTAATGTTAATATAATTAATATTAATTATATAATTAATCTTAATATAGTTTATAATTCTTTTTTTTATTTTAAACTTTTAATGTAGTAAGGTTTATCGTAATGCCAAAGGATATACAATATTCTTGGTGAGATTATTAGGTGTATAAATATATGAATTATTTGGGTTTCTGTCTCTTGAGCAAGCAATATATAGCTGTCCGTGATTAAAGCACGGATTTTCTAAATTTATAAATATATATAAATGTATAAGAAACTGCAGTCTTTTAAAAAGTATTACTGATTCCGAAGGAATTAGTGGTATTCTAGGCAAAAGAACAACATCATCTTTGAATTTTCCGCCCAGTATAATTGCCTCTGTAATGTTTCCCATAATTTTTGTTATTGCTAATCTTGTGCCATTGCATAATTTTGGGGCATTTAAATTTCTTAATAATATAATTGGAGAACCAACTTTCAATAATAATAATATGGACTGGATAATTGACGATTTCATCAGGATCAATAACAGTATCAACTGATTTAAATGTGAATTCATATCCTGGCAGTATCTGTAGTATTTTTAAATTCATTTCGTCTACATCCAAATTCGTTGCTGCTAAAATTGCTCGTTCTTGTAGCCACTCATGATCTTCATGATTATGCTTTAAATTGGAAAAATATTTTCTATTAGTTTGGCTTTGCCATCAACCATATTACAAAAATTATCAGGGAATTGAATGTACTCTATATTTTCATAAAAATTAATTCTGCCATTACCAATATCCAATAATTGTTGTGAAAATTTCGACCCCAGTGCATCATTTAGACATTGAACACGAATGTTAACACTAAGATATAATTTCTTACGCCACAGATAAGACTTTTTTAAGCAGGCATTTATTTCATCAGCACGCGTCGCTCGTGGAATAATGGGCAATGTCTGTCTGAAATCGCCAGACAGTAGCAATAAGCAGCCACTAAAAAGACAATTATTATTTTTGATATCTTTCAGCGACCTATCAAGAGCTTCAAGCGAATGCTTGTGCGCCATAGTACATTCATCCCAGATGATTATTTCACATTTTCGCAAAACTTTCGCCATTCCTGATTTCTTCTTTATGTTGCACATTTCTTCTAGGTTAACATGAACATTTAAAGGTAACTTAAATGCCGAATGCGCAGTTCGTCTTCCTTCAAATAATGTTGCTGCAATTCCTGAAGAAGCTATTGCCAACGCAATATTATTTTGCGACCGCACACGCGCAAGAATCAGTGAAATAATAAATGTTTTTCCAGTGCTTCCGGGTGCGTTCAAAAAAAAGAATCCGCCCTGTTGTGCCTCAATTGACGTATTGATTTGATCATATACACTTTGTTGCTCGGCAGTAAGCAATATTTTATTATTAGCAACAAAAGTAGCTAAAGCAGTTTTATCAAACTGGTGTTCACGTTCAACATCGTTGTTCATGATATCTACTGCTGCTCGGCTCGGTGCTGACATGCCAAATTGAATTAGCGACATGTTCGAAATTTGGATACAAATATTTTCAATCATTATTAAGGCTTCGTTATATATTTGTTCTGAAAATTCATGATTATTATTTTGATTATTAATTTTATACCGATGCAAAATATCCTCACTCATTGGGTCTTTATGTGTATTCCACAGTGCAGATGCATCTGATGGAAAACATGTTGTTAATATTATTGCAAATAATTGTCGAATTTGATGTGCAGATGAAATCAGTGCTGCATCTGCAAGAGTCATGTCCCATTGATTATCATTCTCCAATAAGTGCAACTCACGGCACGCATCATAAAAAGTTTCATATAAAATACCATTGACTGTCCTCAAATTTTGGAATGATTTTGGTCCTATAACATTAATCAACAACAAACGTAAATAAAAGCATTCTCGTTGCTTAGGATGAACAGTATACAATCTAACCAAATTGTTTGTCATATATATGCCTTCGAATCCTGAAACAGGAATACCTCGTTTTCTAGGTACCCAATCTTTTGATTTTTTATCCCATGTAAAATATTTAGGTGTATCTGTATATAATAATGTTCTAGCAAATCTTCCAGCAATATCTGATCTATTACAAAGTTTAAAAAATGCAGTTAGAGTAGTCTTCGGAGCAGTCAAAGCTTGTTGTAATATATTGTTTTCTGTAAAGTATACCCGCTGACCGTTCTCCAAATGCACAGCCCATTTATATCGAGTTATTTCATCATTCTCATTAATACTTTTAATTGCAAATATCGCTTTGTCGCTTCCTTTATGAACATATTTGCATATGCAATCTCTACAGAACGTACCTTATCAACTAACCACAACAAAATATGTGCATGGGGTAAACCTCTCTTCTGCCATTCTACTGAGTATAACAAACAGCGTGTTTCACCAAAAACAGAATGATGTTATCAAATTCATCAATGATTTCAACTTCTGTTTAAAAACTCGCGCAGTTATACTATGCCTATCCATCGTTGTTTGTCCCGGCATCAACAATTTTTTTGTTTCATCCCATTTGGGATTGCACGTAAAGGTAATGAACAGATCAGGTCTGCCATATGCACGAACATAAGCCATAGCATCTTGAATGTACTCCTGCATATGTCGCGGACTTCCAATATAAGAAGATGGAAGAATATATGCAGTACCAATATGACTAATATCATTCATTGCATCTACATTACCAAGTACTGCATCACGCGAATGTATATATTCCTCAGCGCGGAGTTTGGCTTGAATAAACTTTATGAATCTCAATCTCTCACTCTCAATTTTTACATACATGTCGGCCACGAACTGATGGAATAGCTGTCTGCATTTAAAAATGTTATTTTCTTCATTAGCTCGAATCATTAATCGGTAGCAGTAAAAATCCATGGCACTTACTTTTGGCAAGTTCTGCACCTGGAATAAAACATATTAAAATTATTTTAATTATTATTATTTGTTTTTTTTTTATAAAAATAAGATTTTTACCTGTATTTGGATCCCTTTGTTTAATATTTAAATAGTACCCATCTTCACCTTTCCAAAATATCAATGGATACTGCAAAGCATCATAAGAACTATGACTGTCCTGTATTATCTGCATGGTATTATCTCTCCGTTGTATACGTATATCACGCCCCTCATATAGATCACCAGCTATTACGACCGCGACTTCATTGACTGTTGGAACATTATATGCGCCAGCATGTTCTCCCATCGGCACTTTGTCTGCTCTAATAATAATAGCGTAATCATCGTTTTCTAGTCTACTTGAAAGAGTCTTAAACAAATACAACAACTGGTTATGGTTTTTAAAAAATATTTCCAAAGAGTTCACAATATTTCTTTCCTTCATAAACTGTATGTGATTAAATTCACATCGCATGTTTGTTTGTTGTTCATCATCGCCCATAAAATAAATCTGTAAGAATTTCGGATTCACATCAGGCATGGGAAACAATGAACCGATTTGGTGGTAAACTTGACCTTGTATCTTAAATGTTGATTCGAAATTTCGACCATCTTCATTTTCAAATACTTTCGTAGCACCAAATAACGTCATCTGAAAACATGAATTAAATTTGCGATTTTTTTTCAGTAATATTTTTGATTGAGACGTTGTTCCATCTAGTAGAGTTTTTAAAGGTTCCGGTGGTGTTGTTAATTTTGTCAATATAATTTTCTCTGATGCGCAACATAAACCTGCTGATTCTCCTTTGAATTTTAGAGCATGGCAATGTTTACATACATTGTCCATATTACCAATGGTAATTAAAGAGTGTGATGAATAATCAATTTCAGGATCATAATTAAACGCCAGGCGCAAAAGTGATGCACGTACCAATGCTCTGTGATTATTAACTCGTCGTTGATTATTTTCTCTAATGGCGGCGGTCGCACCTCTCGATTTCTCAATGCCATATCTGTCAGTCGTTGAGTACGTCTCTCTAAACTTTCATTGGCATTGCTACTTGCTCTCTCAAATTCATATTGTCTATCATATGTTGTTCATGGGTCCCATTCAATCTTCGTTCATAGATTGCTCGAGCTTGCCGAGTACGTCTTCCAAAATTACTTGCCCCTCTGCGAATTCGTGGCATCGTGGCACGATAAAAGAAAATCTTAAATATTATAACCCGCTGGATAATGTGAATCACTTAATCTTACTCTCAAATTGTACTTAAACTATAACTGAAGAATACCAATATCTTCCACTAATACTGTATTATAACTGATTCTTATTAATACTCTCCTGGACTCTACTTTCCCGTACATAGCCACATCCTATCAAGTTAACAGGGATAAGACACTCTTAGCGGGCGGAGAGACATCTATCGAACTAACTCGCTTTGATAAATTTATAATATTTAGTTTTAAAAAAATTCTAGTTGTACATGGTTGTATATTTTTTTCTTAGAATTATTAACACAAAATTGAGCACAATATGGACATGATTTTTAACAAATAATGCTTGACAGAGCGTTGACATTAACATTCATTATAATACATTTAATTCATTATATTTATCTCATTCTTTTCTTTCAGTTCTATAGGTTAATGTTTGTATAATTATCGTGATATGTAAGTGTTATCAACATTTAAATTCGAATTATAAGTAAATTGATATTTCTTCAACTGTCATATCTCTAAATGAATATATCCATAGAAAATAGTATATGAATATATCATAGGTTTCCTCTCAATTCTCAAACTGATTGTGATTTTCTTTACCTATGCTGCGACTGCATAGTGCAGTGAATAAGATTCGTATGGTTAGTTTAAGTTGTTGATCTTGAGTCAACGCAGTCAATATTTAATGACTAACTTTCTATAATATTCAATTAAACATTGAGTATAATAAATAAAACATAATGAGTGACAAAGAATTGTTTCATGATTTTTTTTAAGAACGATTACTATCAGTTACATTTGTTATAGTTTGTTAAAGTTGAAAAAAAAAAGAATCTCTTGGTATGTAAAATACCATCATCGCTTGATACATTTGAGTATGTCTCGACAGAAAAAGATATTATTGAGACTTCGAATATGGTTGATTTAATTCCTTATTTAATAAATGTTTGAATGTAATGGGGTGAGATTGCTTATATACATTCATCGTGTGAGAGGATAAAAAGTGAGTGAATTGTTAAGCATACAGTAATTGAATAGCAGTGTCATACCAATCATTTGAAATAGTGCTTCGAGATGTTAAATAGGAGTCTGCCGAAAAGACATGGTTTTTAGGAGGTATTATCAGATTGAGTTCTACACATTGGAAAGAAAGACACCAGGTTTTAAACAAAATTATGTAGTATATATGTAATATATGTAAGTATATATGTCACATATATAGTCAAATTTAGCTGCATATTAGAAATATTAATATAATTCTGTTGCAAAACTTGCTATCTGTTTTTAATATATCTCTGTATTTTAACGACGTGTAAATTTCTTTACATATAGACATACTTTAGTTGAATTTCCGTAATAATATCTTTTTCAATTTTTGATCTGCTTTTAATTAAATATAAATCATAGCCTTCGAAGAAAAATTTTAAATACATTTGTATTTCAAAATCTGTTAAACTGAAATATATAATTGTATCTGGAAAAAAGATACTTTATTTAATTTCTGTCATATCTCAGCTGATTCGGCAATAATATTCATAATTTTTATTCATAATCATGAATTTATAATACATATTCTAATATAATGTCATGAGTAAAGGAAAATTTTTGACAGATGACATTTGCAATGCCCAAAATATTTTCAATGTCAAACAATGATAAGCGGTTTTTTGTAATTTTTTCCATTTATTTCTACAATCTAACTATATTTCTATATATCAAAACACTCTAGAAAATTTCCCGAACAAACTTCAGGAAGATTCATGAAAATCCGAATTATAGTTTAGGAGGATTAATGAAACTTGCATTGTTACAGAAGAATTTTATATATAAGATATATATATATATATATATATATATATATATATATATATATTAATTTGTAAATATGAACAAACACTCTTTTTTGCACTAATTTATTAACGTGAGTTCTGACGTGGTTTCGTTGTATCATAAATGATGACGTGTCGTATGTCAGACGGCATATTAAATAATCGAAATGGATAATTTTTATTTACTGAATTATGTATTGTATAAATTTTATTATGATCTGCCATTATTATTCTATTAAAAGGAAGTGAAAAATACAACATTTTCTAATCAAATCAGTATTTATTTGGTTCAAATCATATAACCTATATTTCGCTTGGCTAAAAATATATATGTAATAATCTTAGCTACAATATGATTATTTGGACGTCAATTGGAAAATTTCTTACATTTATAATATCAGTCTACATTATAGTTTTGCTTAGGTAACAATTGCTTCTCAAATCACATTAATATTCTGGGACAAATTACTTGTTGTCTGCGCAGTCCACGCATATCGTTTTTGAACATCCAAGACAAATAGGCTTATGGCATTCGATGCAATTGTACTTAGTACG